CTTTTTATAACAAGCCGGGAAAAGAAAATACTACCTGTTTTAGATGTCGGCTTTAGAAATTTTCTGTGTCTTATAATTTTGAAAATCTACCTGCATACTTACCCATAACTGACGGAAATACATGTTTATAACTACATGCCTACAGCAGGTTTCGAACCCAACCACTCTTCCTTTCGATGCAACCACTCTACCTACTATAATACAATTCGAGTATTAAAAGTACTATTTGATTTATTTAAAGAAAAAGTGTTATCATTGTTATGGTGTTATTCGTTTATCCGGATATCTCACTTGCACTTTATACCTTTAATATATGTATGTATGTATAGGTACATACATTGAAGTTGCGCAACCTGGGTATTTTTATTTGATCGCTTATAACTTACGTAGTTTTGCATCGATTTTCTTCGATGATAGCTTATTTTTTTTGTAATACAACAGAGCTTAGGGAGAAAAAAAAATCTGCAAAAAAATAAAAGGTTTTCGAGATCCTTCCCCGCAAAGTACAATTTTTTTTATATTTTTACAAAAAAAATTGAAAAAATCGGTAATGATTGTTCGTTATCTTTGAATCTACAGGGCCTAGCAAAAAGTGTTGTATGCACAGTTTATAGAAAATTTTATTACCTTTTAAAAGCTTCAAACCGTTTTGGAATTGCTTAATTCGTTCTTGAGATATATATGATAAAGTGGACCCAATTTTTTTTTTTTTGCAAAAACGGTAAATTGCAAATATCTCAAAAACGGTACCATAGAATTAAAAATAACCTTGATTTTCGGCATCAGGGGGTGATTTTACATAGGAATTTCATAACGGCGTTTCTGGTAAATAGAAAAAGTTGAAATTTGTGGTCCAGTGTTATCAATTCGTCGGAATATTTTAAATTTTTTTATGTATGTTACCGCATAACTTTAAACCACGTTAACCGATTTCGATAATTATTTTTTTAAAGGAAAGGTGGTACCTCATAGGTGATCCCATTTAATTTTGTTTAGATCTGATCATTGGATCATAATAAAATTAAGGATATTCTTAAATTTTTATATGAGAATTCAAGTCGGTTTTGTTTATTGCTTAAAAATTACTTACAATTGCCATTTATAAAATCTGGCGTTGATTTTGTTGCGAACAATCATTGTGCGTAATTACATACATACTTGTCCATTTTTTCTTTTTATTTAATGAATCGTTTAAAATATATAGGCAATCAAAAGCACATCAGGATTTTAGGAAAAAGAGTTTTGAATGGAGCATGATATGTTCGCTTTTTATCGATTACACGATAATACGATAAGCTTGGTTCAAACTTGAAAAACTTTTCGAGGTCAAACAAAAATAAGGCAATTCATTTTCTTGTGTCAACCCCTGACGAAGTGCTACAACCACTTGCGACCCCTTAATGGGAGCTCTTTTGACAATGCTTCTGAAAAATTTCGCCCACACCCTCTATATATACCGGGCTCTCGAATTCGAATGTCGCACAGTGGGGTAATTGATGTCGATATTGCGTGTTAATTCAAAAAATGGATTTCAAAATACAAAAAAGGGTTTAGTACCAAATGAAAGTAGATAAAATTCTACATCACCATGTCATAAAATATTTGCCCAAAAGTTTACCATTTTCTTGCAATATACTCTTAAAGTAGTCGCTTTTTCATTTGAGTGTGCGCAAAGTGAAAAACGTGATTTAATATTTCAAATTTCCAAGCTATAACTGAGTTTAAATTAACAATTCAAAGTTTCCGTAACACAAGTCAAACAAGGTAAAATAGTACACTGGCTTATGAAAAAATTTACGGTACTCCTAAATTTTTTTATGAGAATTGAAGTCGGTTGTGTTATTTGCTTAAAAATTACTTTTTAAATTATTTAATTGTAATTGTATTACTTGCAAAAGAAATTGCTTTCGTTCTTCGTCTTTCGCCAAAGTTTGATTATAATTTTGTATCAACGCTATACC